AAATAATAGTTCAATAAACTTTTTAATACAAGTCAACAAATGAGATGACATGGCCTTTCACTCGTGGCCCGTCTCGAAAGGGTTAAGCAACAGTAAAGCTGGATAAATCTGCTGATTGCACCATTATTTCACATGAGGGAAACCTTTACATATAGCTTTTCAACTAGCATTATATTGTTAGTTTTGGTTATGTCTTTTGTTGAGAATCGTCAAGGATGTTGCTAACATTTACAAACAATTATATGCACAAGTTTTACTGAAAGTAACACTACTGACATATTTTATAAATTTGTTATAATTTTGCCTAAGCTTTCGGTATAATTTTCATGCAACACAGGTATGCAAAACGTACTATTAAAAAACATTCATGACTTGCATAAACTAGGTAAGTAAAGAACTATAATTAGTTTCCATAAATAGACATTAAGATGTTAAAAAATAATTTATGACCAATTACATTTATTTTCAACAAACTTTTTCCATGTTAACATTACACAACATAATGTACTTTATGTATAAATCTATCCATACCTGATTCAATTTGCGTGAGAGGTCATTGGTTAAGCATTCTTCTTCCTGTTCATAATTCAATGCTAAAGTTTCTTTTTCTTTCTTCAAGGCTTGGATTTTTTTCAACAGAGTGTTACTAATATACTCCTCTTCTTGCTCAGCTTTTGCTTGCTACATCATACAGAAAAAAGTTTTTACTGTGTCTTTTACATTGCCTAGTCTATAAAAATTGAAATATTCCAAAACGAAACAAAATACCCCTTTAAAGTTAAAAAATTAAACAAAAATGAGACGGTATTTGTATTGATTTTCAAATTGAATAAAACATTTTTATTTTATATTTCATTCAATATGATACTTAGTAAGTAAAAATCAAATGATGTAATTTCAAGTTTTGTCAACATGCAATTAAACTTTTTGCTAAAACACTTCTTTATGTAATTAACCATTAATTTAATAAAATGTCTATAAGTGTCTATGCATGGCTATACTTACTGCTAAAAAAATACTAACAATCAAAACTTTATCACTTGTTAGCAATACGAAATAATTGTTATAACATTCTATACAATCATAACATGTAGATTTCTTTTTTAACTCTTGCTGGAGAAGATAGAAAAAAGTTTATTTTAGTGACCTCTGATGTACATCCCTTTTATGTGTTGCATTATTACTTTTGCAATAATTATACATTTAGCACGTCTTGAATATGTACCTACAGCAATTAAAAATTTATCATATGGCATATAATCTTTTAAAAAGATAATATATGCAATTATATTAAACCTGTAAATGTACTAGGTTTAGAAGCATTTTTTTAAGAATGCTAAATGATGTACTCTTAAAGGTTTTAAAAGTATAATATACAATTGATTTGTCACTAATCATATGCATAAATAAACAATTTTCAAATTATCAGTTTTCTGCAAAATATTCAATCAAAGCTTGAAGAAATCAGCAGATAAAGAATGCTTGCTGGTAATAAGATATGCACAATGAACAATTTGCTAATTGTAACCCTTTTGTATTCTGAATTAAGCCCAACTGTTTTTACCTAATATCAGTAATATTAAGACTGGAGCTTAAAGCATCTTAACATTGTGGGTTCTAAGTTATCTATAATCCAACAGCATTAAACAAGGAAATAATCTTATTATTTCTAGTGCCTTATGTAGTAAGGCAACAGTATACAAATTATTATACTGTTGTAATATTTTTCATTTAAATTGAGTTGACAAAGTGTCACAATGTTACTATTGGAAATATACTACTTCTTAGCAAATAAAATACTTTTAGGACAACTAAAACTTTGAAACTGGCTTTATCATACATTTAAAGTCCTACAAAAGGCATAAAACCACAATGTTAACATTAAAATGTCTCTGAAAAAAGTTGTTCAAATGCATTTTGTAACATTTTTAAAGCACGGTGTACAAAATCTTATTCTATTAATCAAATTTTACTTCTCTTATAATGATCTTATTTTCCACATTTTAAATTTACTGAACAAAGTTGATAATATTCACAAGCTGAATCACAGCATACCTTAAACTAATATCATCATGACTATGGGTCTACTCATACTCATAATATCAGAATAAATGTTAAAAGATATATTTTGAATATAAGAAAAAAATGTTTGACTGATAACTAAGTCTGGGTATATATTTTTATTTCATATAGAAAAGTACTCAAATAAAATAATGTAGTACAAAATATTTTAAAGGCATGCTTGAAACTACTATACTGATGCACAGCCATGTGGTTTACTAATGTTACCATTTTTTTAATCACCCCAGTCCCTTTAAGTTATGATTTAATATCTACAAATTCTCACACATACTACCTACAGTACATGACAATCTGTTACTCTGATTGAGAGCTGAATACTGAACTTTGTTTTTAGTTTTAACAGATATTACATGTATACTGGATGCACTTCCATAGAGTCCCCAAAAGTGTTCCATTTAAAGAGTAAATAAAACCAAAATTAAGAGTAACAAATTGTTTTATTTCTTGCTTTTGAAGTTATATTTCATACTGCGTTGTAGCTTACAGAGTTCATACTTCTTCTCATGATTCATGGCATGCGCATGTTTTACTGATATCATGACAGTACAAATTGCAACATTATTATGAATAAGCTGGTTGAAAGGCCGATAAAATTAATCAGTAGTAGCATCTTTTGTTCTATTTCATTTTGTCAACAAACACACTTCACAAAATTTTCATTAAACTATGGTACTATATGTACAGGTATGTTTCCCTCAGCAAAAAGCACATCTTCAATATATATATATATATATTATAATAATTTCAAAGCAAATTAATATTCAAAATAGAATTTATGTTTTTATTCCTTTTGTTTTTTTAAGTTTGTTCAGAAAAGCCCAACTAAACATATATATATATATATAAATTATAAAGATGAAGAAATTTCACACATGCTGTACGTTTTTCATTGTATGCCCTTTTTATTTAGCAAAGCCCAATTAGGCTTACAAGTTTCATAAGTTATACACACATACAAACACACACAGATAAAGTTCCTTCCCCCTCATATCCTTCTGAATTTAGTTCCATTGTAAGTTCAAGGGTGACAAGAATTTCTTTTGCATAGTTTTTGTTCATTGACAATTTGGAAATATTCCACGTGAACATGGATATTATATTCCCCATGCATAAAAACTGATTGTGATTTTGAAGTCTAGAAAAAGCTCGAATTTTGGTTATCATTGTTTACAACATTACTTCATTATTCATTACTTACATTTCATTAGCAAGATTCAATGAAACTGAAATATAGCACAATAAATGAATAATTTATCGTTATTTAACTCAAATTTCAGGTAAATGTTAATCGTACGACTCATGTTAAAAAACGTACACCTCACAAAAACTTCGAAGTTATAATCATACTACTACGAGACTTACAATATTTACGCTAGCTTGTCGAAGAGCACGATTATCTTCTTGTAAGCTTTTCACACGAAGTTTATAAGTATCCAATTCCATCTTTAACACCCTGTTTTCTTGTAAAAGAGATTCATTACGTTTTTGAAACTGTTCTCGGGTCATTGGAGAGGGAGGAATCATCAAACTCCCATCAACAGAACTACTGTCGCTTTCACTTGCACTATCCGCCATCTTACGAAATGTATTAAACAGCGTGGAGGAGATACGTAGGGGATAAAGGGAAAACGTATTTATACGAAATTGTATTAACTTTCGAAATTGTAAATTTTCATAAGAAAAATATATATATATATATTTTTTATTATGAACGTAGTTTATTTGATATTTCATAAAAATTTTGCAAGATAGTGTACTAAAGGTTAATTGATAATTATAACTTTTTGTTTGTTTGCTTGTTGTTAAGCCCAAGGCTACACAGTGGGCTAGCTGTGTTGTGCCCACTGTGGGTATCGAAATACAATTTTTCGCGTTGCAATTCCTCATAATATGATGAGCAACCGGAGGCAATTATAGCAAAGGAAAATACAAATGAAAAATGGGTGGAAAATTTATTCCGGGGGGAAAAAAGCAAAAACTGGTAATGTTTGGAACGAAATTGTTTTCTTGTATTGGGTGGCCATACTAGCTATTTCTCAAGAGCTTTGTTTGTTTGTTTTGGAATTTCGCGCAAAGCTACACGAGGGCTATCTGCGCTAGCCGTCCCTAATTTAGCAGTGTAAGACTAGAGGGAAGGCAGCTAGTCATCACCACCCACCGCCAACTCTTGGGCTAC